TTATCCTCAGATGCGCAGAAGAGTCAATATCTGGTCGGTCAACGGTTTAAAAGGGGGGATGTAAGTCTATCGGTGAGAGTTATTGGCATCAACATATACCAGGACTGCCTCCTCTCGCTTCGTGAGGTTATCAATGGTTCTGACCGAAGCGCTGTTGGTGTGCGAGTGGCAACCGTACATCATCTAGTTAGATGAAAGGCTATTATCACGAATAGAAGCGAATATGCGTGCCCCAGGTTCTTGTTGTAAAGAAGAGGAAGACGCGATCTCTGGAACAATAGTTCCGGAGATCGCGTCTTCCTCTTCTTTACAAAGGCTATTATACTATCTGGAGTCGCATAAATTAACAACTTCCAGAATCCGTCGCAGACGTACGCTCTTTTTGTGACTTCGACAATTACTACAGCCGAGGAATGTGCTGCGACATTCCGCATGGAGATATTGTATTCTGGGTTTAGTTTACTACTCGTCGCCGATTAGTAGCCAGATTTTATCTGAATAAACTGTTTTCCTATCTGCATTTCCATAGGTCGGCCCTGATGGAGATTCCATAGCTATTAACAGTTAAATGCAGGGTAGAAAGCTGAACAGTGGATCAACGCTCGAGATGAACAAAAAAGCTGCCTGGTGAATGACAACAGCAAGTTGTGGTCTCTCTCTCTCCAGGTTATTCAGATTGCCTTCTGACGCCGCCTTTGACCACGGGAGCGTCTAGTCTGCTGAAGCTACTAGCATTGCATGGAGATAATCTAACAAATACGTGGACAGAGGTCTGTGTCTTATGGGAAATGGATGGGGAAGAGGGCAATAGGCTTATAGTGATTGTGGAAAGGCAGCGAATGGTAGCTCAGATGTGCTTACTTATAGGGAAAGACTACAGCACTACTACAGAAATAATGGTTTCGTTGGGACGACAGGAAAAGGCTAATCACGATCATTTAACTTGCGATAAATTTTTACCTACTTATTTTGTTATACACAACCCTAACCTTAAGACACAGGCCTGGGGTTAAGTGTATATAAGGTACGATACTAATGATACCTTTGCAAATATTTGTATATGTACCAATCGGTTTCGGTGAGTATGTGATGACTTACTTTCAAATGGT